GCGGGGCTGGCCCAGGGCGGGGGGAGGTAAAGGTGGGGGGAAGAGGGGAGAGAATGGGGCAGCGGGGAGCGGGACAGTTCAGGGCGCACGCAAATCCCAAATAAAAATGTAAAAGCAGTGCCTTTTAAATATCCCCACTACTGACAATGAGGTTTAAAGGCACTACAGTGTGTAAGAATGGAGAGAACCTGGTGCCTTCACCATCCAGAATGAGAATAAGGATAAAAAATTCCAAACATGGTGTCAGCTTTCTAAAAATAAATGAGCCCCTTTTCAATACACGATGTGGTGGTGCAGGGTTTTATTGGATTACGGTCCATTTTTCCAATCCATATTCCCTTAGCTTGCTGGTAAGAATATTGTGGGTGGCCGTATCAAAAGCTTTGCTAAAGCTGGCCCTGGGGGCTTTGGGAGGACCAAAACCAATGTATTTGCATATTCGTCATTTGCTTAATGAATATGCAAATGGATGTTACTGGTCCTCCGAATGCTCACGAATGCATTTACTGGTCCCCGTGTCAAAAAGTTTGGGAACTCCTGACCTACAGGATGAATCTAGCTGATTGAAAGTCCTGGAAGATGCAAGAGAGGCTAACAATGAATAGGATAATTAGATGATTGCATACAGTTAGATGATTCCAAAGCATTTAATACTCTCACGTAGAGGCTAACAGTGAAGGAAAAACATTAATACTACAATGGGTATGACAATTTGCTCTTTTTGGGTGACCCTCTTTTAAATATTATTTTAATAGTTATTCATATTTCAAGAACAGGAAGGCAGGTCATTTTTCAAGTTTCTTAGAATCAAATCATAACTCAGAATGTATGTTTCTCTTCCTAATACAAGTTTTCATCCACATAGTGCTATAAAATAGTTCATTTCATTATACTTCCATTGGCCTTGTTGTTGCAGATGTATCTGTATGTGCCCAGCTGAAACTAAATTAAATTTAGATTTCAGCTGTCTTTCCCATTGGCTTTCCTTTCTGCCAACACTCCCTAGCTACCTGAGTTTAACCCTTTCATCACCAGGTGCTGATCAGCTCTTCTGCTATCCATCACATCCTCAAACACTTCCCATTTTCTTCTGTAAATACGCAAAATACAATAAGCAGAAATAATAGGTGAGAAAGGAGGTATCCAGCACGTTTTCTCTTGTCCATCAGCATATTAAATATCAGTTAGCATTTCATTGACACTGTACTCAGAGTGTAGTAAAATAGTTTCTTGAGCCTTCTAAAATTACCACTAGATGACAGTGTAAGTCAGGGCAGTAGTCGTTAAGCTTTGTTATTCAGAATAACTGTTAGTACAGTCTGTGCTATTTTGAGAGGAAAGTAGTGCCTGTCTCAAGATTGTGGCTGGGTGGATTAGTTCATGTTTTCCTGACCTGCAAACATTGATGATGTATTGGCCATACTGACATACCAGTGCCTGCACAGTAATTAAAAAGTACCTCTTATGGCTGATAAACAGAGGTTTGGTGGTGGTCCTAAAATGAGCATATAAGTGTTACTAGCATATGTACCTGGCATTGCTCGGATCTTTAACTCTTTTGGGGGGCAGATGAGAGGGGATGCAGAAGTCAGGGGAGGAGATGGGGGGGGCTCAGGGTGATGGATGCAGAAGGCAGGGCAAGGGGCTAGGAGGTGTGGGAAGGCTGAGAACAGGGGATGGGGTGCTGGAGTTAGGGCAGGGGTGGAGGGCTTTAGGGCAGGGGATTGGATGTGGGTAGGCTCAGGTCAGGAGGATCAGGGCAAGACGCTGGGAGGTCTGGAGGGCTCCCCGGGGCTGTGCAGGTTGGGTGGCAGCAGCTCCTCAGGATACTCATAGAGACCAGCTACTTGCCGCTTCATAGTGTGCTGGGGCCAAGGGTGAGGAAGCAGTGGCTTGGGCTTCCTCTGTGGAGGATGGGGTGTCATCCGGATTGGGGACAACCGTGGCCAGCACTAGCACAGGGACCTTGCTGGTGGCCAGCAATATTCAGAGCCCCTCTCGGAGCAGGCCACTGTTTTACTTGTGCGGCTACCACCTGTGGTCACTGCCATATAACTGTCCTTTCTAGCAGCTCCTTCCCTTTCCATGTTATGGGAAACAATCCCATTCCAGGCACATCCTGTTTTCATGACACAACTAAAGCCTGACCTTGTTTAAATTATGATAAGAGGAAACTGCATACTAAATTTGGTGGTCCTAACTTTTACTGTTTAGAAGTTCTTTAACAAATGGACTCATGGATGGACTCACAGACAAACAGATGCACAAACTCTCTAGAATGCTCTATAACTGGCCAACCAGTTCTGAAGTATTAGCTGCTGTAGTGGCTATTGCTATAGCGAGCTAGCCACACTCAACTGGCCAAATAGATGCATTGTTCAAGCCAACTAGCCACAGGCAACCAGCCAAATAGCCACATGTGGCTAGCATGTTGGATACCACAGCTCCAAATAGGTTAGTTGCTTCTGAAAAACTGGGGATCCCTAATAATTTGTAGTTAATAACTAGGCTGTCAATTAGTAGGCATTAACGCCTGTTATTAACGCAGGGCAGAATTAACGCATTAAAAATTGATGCATGTTAAGAATCAGAGGGCAGCAAACCAGCATTAGCTGCTCTCTTTGGTAAGGCGCAGTAATGCAAACCGCCACCAGAGGGGTGATAGAAATGTAGCCGTGTTAGTCTGGGGTACCTGAAGCAAAATGCAGGACAATGTAGCACTTTAAAGACTAACAAGATGGTTTATTAGATGATGAGCTTTCGTGGGCCAGTATTCATATTTCAAGAACAGGAAGGCAGGTCATTTTTCAAGTTTCTTAGAATCAAATCATAACTCAGAATGTATGTTTCTCTTCCTAATACAAGTTTTCATCCACATAGTGCTATAAAATAGTTCATTTCATTATACTTCCATTGGCCTTGTTGTTGCAGATGTATCTGTATGTGCCCAGCTGAAACTAAATTAAATTTAGATTTCAGCTGTCTTTCCCATTGGCTTTCCTTTCTGCCAACACTCCCTAGCTACCTGAGTTTAACCCTTTCATCACCAGGTGCTGATCAGCTCTTCTGCTATCCATCACATCCTCAAACACTTCCCATTTTCTTCTGTAAATACGCAAAATACAATAAGCAGAAATAATAGGTGAGAAAGGAGGTATCCAGCACGTTTTCTCTTGTCCATCAGCATATTAAATATCAGTTAGCATTTCATTGACACTGTACTCAGAGTGTAGTAAAATAGTTTCTTGAGCCTTCTAAAATTACCACTAGATGACAGTGTAAGTCAGGGCAGTAGTCGTTAAGCTTTGTTATTCAGAATAACTGTTAGTACAGTCTGTGCTATTTTGAGAGGAAAGTAGTGCCTGTCTCAAGATTGTGGCTGGGTGGATTAGTTCATGTTTTCCTGACCTGCAAACATTGATGATGTATTGGCCATACTGACATACCAGTGCCTGCACAGTAATTAAAAAGTACCTCTTATGGCTGATAAACAGAGGTTTGGTGGTGGTCCTAAAATGAGCATATAAGTGTTACTAGCATATGTACCTGGCATTGCTCGGATCTTTAACTCTTTTGGGGGGCAGATGAGAGGGGATGCAGAAGTCAGGGGAGGAGATGGGGGGGGCTCAGGGTGATGGATGCAGAAGGCAGGGCAAGGGGCTAGGAGGTGTGGGAAGGCTGAGAACAGGGGATGGGGTGCTGGAGTTAGGGCAGGGGTGGAGGGCTTTAGGGCAGGGGATTGGATGTGGGTAGGCTCAGGTCAGGAGGATCAGGGCAAGACGCTGGGAGGTCTGGAGGGCTCCCCGGGGCTGTGCAGGTTGGGTGGCAGCAGCTCCTCAGGATACTCATAGAGACCAGCTACTTGCCGCTTCATAGTGTGCTGGGGCCAAGGGTGAGGAAGCAGTGGCTTGGGCTTCCTCTGTGGAGGATGGGGTGTCATCCGGATTGGGGACAACCGTGGCCAGCACTAGCACAGGGACCTTGCTGGTGGCCAGCAATATTCAGAGCCCCTCTCGGAGCAGGCCACTGTTTTACTTGTGCGGCTACCACCTGTGGTCACTGCCATATAACTGTCCTTTCTAGCAGCTCCTTCCCTTTCCATGTTATGGGAAACAATCCCATTCCAGGCACATCCTGTTTTCATGACACAACTAAAGCCTGACCTTGTTTAAATTATGATAAGAGGAAACTGCATACTAAATTTGGTGGTCCTAACTTTTACTGTTTAGAAGTTCTTTAACAAATGGACTCATGGATGGACTCACAGACAAACAGATGCACAAACTCTCTAGAATGCTCTATAACTGGCCAACCAGTTCTGAAGTATTAGCTGCTGTAGTGGCTATTGCTATAGCGAGCTAGCCACACTCAACTGGCCAAATAGATGCATTGTTCAAGCCAACTAGCCACAGGCAACCAGCCAAATAGCCACATGTGGCTAGCATGTTGGATACCACAGCTCCAAGTAGGTTAGTTGCTTCTGAAAAACTGGGGATCCCTAATAATTTGTAGTTAATAACTAGGCTGTCAATTAGTAGGCATTAACGCCTGTTATTAACGCAGGGCAGAATTAACGCATTAAAAATTGATGCATGTTAAGAATCAGAGGGCAGCAAACCAGCATTAGCTGCTCTCTTTGGTAAGGCGCAGTAATGCAAACCGCCACCAGAGGGGTGATAGAAATGTAGCCGTGTTAGTCTGGGGTACCTGAAGCAAAATGCAGGACAATGTAGCACTTTAAAGACTAACAAGATGGTTTATTAGATGATGAGCTTTCGTGGGCCAGATCCACTTCCTCAGATCAAATAGTGAGGGCGCATGGTAAAAAGAAGCAGCAAGAAAGAAAAAACAAAACCCTGAAGCCATCCCAACTCCAACAGAGAAATAAACAAGAAGAAAAAACCCTGACACCCATCCTTCTCCCTTCCCAGGTGACCATATTTTTTTAAAATAAAACAGCCGGGGGGTGTTCCCCAACGGGGTCCCCCCTCCCCAGCAGGGCTTACCCAAGCCAGCCTCTCTTTGCTTCCTGGGGCTGGGTCTGACCCTCCCACACATCTGATTTTGGAGCTGAGTCCCCTGTCCCGAATTCTGCACTGCCCATGGTGGGGGTCTATCCCCCCCCCAGTCCAGGGGCTGACCCCTCCCCTGAGCTTTGAGGCTGCCCCCCCCCCCACCTCAGAGCCCTATGCCACCTGCAGTTGG